ATGTTTCTTCAAATGTTTTTTATATACACACACACACACACACACACATACACACACACACACACACACACACACACACACACACACACACACATCTTTTCTGTTATATAATTAAATTAAGATCTTTCATTTTTAAATAAAGACTAGTATTTTAAAACCTTTTAATGTGTTTGTTACAAAAAACAATGAGGCTGTCATAGACAAGACCACAAATTGATCTGTCTCCAACATTCTGACTGACCAGTTTTATTTTTACTGCCAGCTTGTCTCAAAACTTGGGCTACGTCTAGACTACAAAGAAAAGTCGGAAAAAGATACTCAAATTGTGAACCGCAAATTGCATATCTTTTTCCACTTTCTTTCAAAAGAGGCTTTTCCAAAATTTGGCATGTCTTCATGGTGCAAAATTTTGGAAAAAAATCTGCTCTTTCGAGCCATCCCTTCCTTGTACAATGAGGTTTACAGGGATGGCAAAAGATCGGTGTATCTAAAAAAGAAACTGAGTGTGCAGTACAAAAACCATGCTATATTTCTAATCTTTATTTCTTTTTAAAGTTGTAACTCCTTTTTCTTTGTAGAGAGAGGAGAAAAGAGGTAAGAGATGCAAGACTTGGGCAAACATGAGTTGCTGAAGATTTCCATTTTCTAATATTCAACTTATTTTTAATCTCTTCCACAAACACAACAGATCAATTCCCTTCCTAATCAGAGAAGGTTTACACCTGTAAATCCTCAAGTATTTATTGTGGCTGAATTGATCTGAAGCTAGGCTTAGAACTCCAATTTTTACACTTAACATTTGGTGAGTTTTGGTTGATCATAGACAAATCCCGTAGGGATAATGTCACCTTATTAGCAGTATTTATTGTTAGTACTTGATCTTCCTGTTTCAATGTCTAACACATAGTAACTTTCTCAAAGTGAGAGAACTTCTCATTTCTAGGCTAAAGATATATTCCAGTACAAAATGCAGTGTCTGGGCAAAAACTTTACAGGCATACGCAGAAGAAATGTATCATTTTTATTTTTATTTTTTAAATACGTCTTGGAACCAAGTGGTTTTTCTACTTTTAGGCCAACTTGAAATTTAGCCAGTAGGGTCAAAAAAGGGTTTGATTGTTCGCTCTTTACGCAGATCAGAAAAACATCTATTCACTCAGTCTCATGAAGGAATCCACTATTGGGATTCCTTTGTGAACAGGTGATCATTGATGGAAATAAGGCTAGAACAATCTAGTCCAAAGTGAGGTGGGGAAATTCTGGCCAAGTATACTGAGGCTTGAGGACTGCATGTATGCCAAGTCTTGAAATTCAAATCAGGTTTCATTTATTCAAGAAGCAGGGGAAAGCATGTAATTATTTTAAGATCTGGAATAATACTTTTTCATTCACCATGCACACAAAAACATTGCTGGATTAGGTATAAAGAGGTTAGGATTTTTGGGTTGTTTTAAAGCAGGGGTCAGCAACCTATACCTCCCAAGTCAAATATGGCTCAGTAGGGAGCCAAATATGGCTCTTCTGCAGCTCGAGTTCCTCGCCCCCCCCTCTCCCCTCCCAACAGCAGGAAGCTTGTGCTGGCACTCCAGCCTTGCATCCACCTACAAGGTTGGAGCACAAGTGCTGGCTTTTCTTGTGGGTGGAGGAGAGAGAGCCCCAGCCTCCCCACCAAATCTGGCTTGTGGGGATGAAGCGGAGCTAGAAGCGACTCCGCACACTGCCACGTCCCTTCTACTTCCCCCTTAAAAACCTGTTTCCCCCCCCCCCCCCCCGCACCATCTACACAGAGGGAACCAGGCGTATGGAACCAGGCGTGAGTCGGGAATCAGCTGATTGCTGGCTTGCGCCCAGTCCAAGATGCTGTGCCTCTGCTTTTTAAATGTATTAAGAGCCTATTGGCTCTTAATACATTTAAGCAGCTAAAGCACAGCGGGGGGGGACCCGGCGCAAGCTGGGACAGCTGATTCCTGGCTCGCGCCCCGTCCCCCCCCCGGCGCTGCACCAGCCTTTCAAATGTATTAAGAGCCAACAGGCTCCCTTGCTTAGCTGATGGAAAATCCATCAACTAGTCAAGAAGTTGATTAAACTAAATTTAGCATCCCTAAAAAGATACAATAAAAATAAGAATAAACATAAAATAAATTAGGCTGTTATTAAAGATGTTTTATTTCACTGATGCTATAGTTATGGACGAGAAGACAGATATATAATTCAGTGAAATATTAGGCCATAAGAGTTGGCCCCTCCATCAACCCGCAGTCTCCATATATATTGAATGGAAAAAGACTGGAATTCTGAGCTGCCTACCAAAGAGTCGTAAGGTGACAATATATAGTGATCAAAGGCAGGCTGTATCTGGTACAATGTGCTGATATAAAGTCACAGTGTTGCCCTCTACTGGCATCTGCTGAAAGCTGTTAAACATCTATTAATCAAGAACCCTAAACAGCATGATAAATTTCTGAAGGACAGTATTAATAGATTTCAGACCAGCTCTAAGCTATCCTTGTAAGCAAAAACCTTCCTCTGTGAGAGGAATGGGGGGTAGCACTTAGCTGTCAGCACTCATCTGCTTACAGACCTCTGCAGACTTACGTTCAAAATACAAAAGCTTTAAAACATAAAAATGTCAGCTGGATTAATTAAATGTTTGAGCACCAGCAGCTCCTACAGAGTTCGAAGGCTCATGGCATGAATTAGGGACACTAGGGTCACGAGAGATAGTGTCATGTTTCAAACAGATGTGAAATGTCTAATTGAGAACACACAGAATCACACAGCCGCCTTGTTAAAAAATGCTTTGCCAAATCCAAACATTTGTACTTAATAAGATAAGGCAGGGTGGAGGAGAGAGGAGTGTTTGCATTTCACAAGTACTCCATTGCCTTTATTTCTTTTATTGTTTTCATTTAGGTGGGATCTGCTGTCCCCCCCCAGGCATTAAAGAATAGGCTAGCCTATTAAAGGCTCAGATGTTCAATTCTTACTTGAGAGTAGGCCTCACCCACATGAATAGAGTCAGTGGCTCTGAGAAGGCTCAACATGCAGCAGTGATATCCAGTGGGAAGTGTTCCCTCTAGGTTTTTGTTCCATCTGTGTGTGGAATACGTTTTATTGCATGAACTGAAGGATGTGAGGCTGTATACTACCAGTAGAAACACATGCTGCCAGTGGTGGGTCCTGTGGGCACTCTGCTAGTCAACTGGGCAGTATTAAAATCTCTCCTGGGTGGCCACCCAAGCGCTCATCTCACAGGAACATTGCCAGTGGGTTAGCTGTAATGTAATCAAAGTGTGTCACTTTAAAGAATTATTTCTCTAGACTGGCTCCAGCACTCGCTTTTGGAATTCTTGAACTTCCAACATCTGTTTGTCAAGCACTAAAGGATCAGCACCTGAGACAGTGAAATGAAGGCCTTAAAAGGAGCAGGAGCAGATCTGCCTTGCTCCAAGTCAAAATGTATGCCCCATAGTCAGAAAAGTCCTCTGTATAAAGCTGTCTCTGCCCTTCACTTGCTCTGTGGCTTTGAGCAAATTATTGCAATTGATTGAGTTTTCCCATCTTTAAAATGGAGATAATTTTACTTGTTTACCTGCCATGCTGGGTTGCTGTGAAGGACACTTAATGTTTGTAAAGTGCTTGGAACATGTCAAAGCTCTGCATACATGCAAAGACTTCTTTTATTATCTGATTTTTTTTCTAGATTGGTTGAAGAGGGCTTGTATCTGCACATAAAGGTGTGTTGACCAGGCAACAATGTGATTTGCCGGAACAGATTCCAGTTAGTTAGAAAATTAGCATACATTAGCTTGAGGAAAGATACGTTTTGCGATTAAAAACAATCTGATTTTGTTGATAAGACTTTTATGTGCAATTAGCCTAGATTCGAGAGTTTTATTCCAGCACGTTGCCTAAAATACTCAAAATGAAAAGTTTACTTAAGAAATTGTAAAGCTTGATCACTCTTTTCAAAATCTGGAATTGCTACAGTAAACTCTTCTGAGCGAATATGAATGCCCCAACTTCTGAGTTACATGGTATAAATTCAGAATGACTTCACTGGAATCAGATGCTTACCAGTTCTAGTTAGCTGGTAGGGCATGGACCAGTTCCCTGTTCAGCCTGGGCAAGAGGCTGCTCCAGCCCCACAGGGCTCGCTGGAGAGGCGCCTGTTTGTGGAGGGCCCAGCCCCCCAGCTGCAGGTTACACGCCGGCTCCTCAGGAGTCGGTTACAAAGCCTGTAGGGAAGCCTCACCAAGAGCGGGGCTAGCAGCCCTTGCCGGCTCCACTCTTTAAGTCTTTATACTCCAGAGCCCGCAGTGCCTGTAGCCATGTAACCGCTATGATTTTTAGCAATTACACGGGTACATTTTAAACAAATTTTTATATCCCAAGCCCAAACCTATGAGTACAGCGGACTTCTTGTGAGGTGTGGAGTGCTCTTGACTCCCCCTGGGGTCTCTGAGTATCACAGAAGTTGCTGTGTCTCTTGTAGAGCAGGTCTTGCTGGTGTTCTTTTAGTTCAATGCAAGAAATGAACAGAAGTGGGTTTTGTCATTTAAATTGGCTAGTGACACCCAGATGGTTCTAATGATGAACAGATGTGAATGGAGGGAAATGTACTGTACTTTGAGAACAATTAATGACTAACCATACAAGTAACCATGTACTTGCCACAATAGAATTCATCCTAGCACAGTTGTCATCAGGACTGGGGGGCGGGGGGGAACCCTGTCTGCATGTATTCATATTTCATGACAAAAATCAAGCAGCTGAAAGTAATACTCTGATCCAGCCGTGCATGCTGTCCAAACAGATCTTTTGTTCTGTGTGGGGAGTTTATCCAATGCTCAGATCTCGTTCTGTGTTTGAACTGAACATGAACACGAGCACAAAAAAATGTTGGACACCCAACCATGCTGTGCTGCCTTGATTTATTAAAGCAATGCTTTCTTTCTTCCAGCTGCATTTGTTGACTCCAATGCTTATCTGATTTTCAGGTGAGCGCCCTTACCAGTGTCCTTACTGTGACAAGGCTTTCAGCAAGAATGATGGACTAAAGATGCACATCCGTACCCATACAAGGGTAAGCAAGGCCCACTTGCTTTAATTGTTACTTAAGAACCATGATTGCCCATGAAGAATACAGGGAGATAAATTATTGCTGTTTCAAAGACATTATTTGCACTTCGAAAGAGGGGAAGAGAGCATGCAAATTAATAATTTTAGAATTTTATTTCTGACTTCTATATTGACCTGTGATATCTTGGACAAGATGGTTTACTTTTCTGTGCCTCATTTTTCCACATGTAAAGAAGGGGTAATTATGCCTACCTTCCTAGCACAGTTGTCTTGGGATGCTTCAGTGTTTATAACCAGTTTGATAGGTTAGTATCATTATTATTAAGAGAAAGAGTTAAATATCAAACACTTTTATGTTTCTCTCGCCTCTAAACCTAATCTCTGGCAAATTCTCTCTGTCTTAATAACAGTAATGGTACTGTGCTCATGTGCAGCGCTTTAACCCTATTTATTGATTGCAAACATCAAGCAAGTCTCAAAACAACCTTGTGAAGAATGTAGGAATAATATTTGTAATGCAGGCTCGAGAAATTTCTGAAGATTAGTCGCTGACCTTAGGATCATAAATATCCTGGTTTTGTGTTGAAAGCTTATAATGTTTGAATATTTACTCAAGGCAGTCCTTACACCCACTCTGCCCCCCCTTGTGCCTATCTAGAAAAAAGGGTGGTTTAAAATAGCTGGCTGTGAATTCTGCTTGCATAGGAGAATCCCAAGTATCCAACTGTTTGCTATTTACTCTCTGCTTTCCCTTTCTAGAAAGCATTTTGGGGACAGATTCTAGGCAGTGTGCGTGTGTGCTAAAAGACTCTTTATAGAATAGAAAAGTAATGTAAAGTTATATAGTTATATGTGTATATAGATCTTGATAACTCCTCATAATGCAGACAGTGAAGTGCTCACAGATGCATATTGTGTTTGTAGTCTATTAGGAAATTAGTCACTTCAGAGAAGGCAAAACTTTTATTTGTCAAAACTGGAGTACTTACAGAATTGCTCTTCTGAGAACTCTTAATTCCTTGAGATTTTCCTTTTGTTGTTTATGCTCTTAGACAGCTGTAGTACCACACCGTTAGAGGGAATTTATGAAAAACACATTTAAAACTGGCTTAAAAAGACATGTACAAAATAGGACTGAATGAAAGATGGGCTAAGCCAAGGACTTACACGAAGGAAATGGCTTAAACTCTGCTTCTGCACGGCAGAACAACAGCTCAGGCAGACACACTCACTATTCAGTCTGCAGCAACAAGGAAACATTGGTAATTTGGATTTTACTGAGTGGAAATTTGAATTGTATAAATGTTATGCATTGCTAAAGAACATGATAAAGTTCTTCAACTGATGGTCTCTATGTGTATTCCACTTGTGCTGTGTACACACCTGAGATCGGAGGATTTTTGTGGTTCCTATGTATATCCCATTATTCACCCTTCTTTCCTCTCTGCTCTGGCATTTTATCCTGGGGTTATTTAAGGTAAAAGGATACATACAGAAGTAGTCAGTCCACACTTGTGCCCTCATGAGAAGGAGAAGGCCACAGGTACAGACCACTGGATACTGCTAGCAATAATCTTCTTGTCTCTGGCATGTATTGTGCATGCTTACCTGGAGAGGAATACAAATAGAGTCTACACATCTTGAAGAGCTCCCTTGGTTGTACAGGGACGTAATCTTTCTTTTTTATGTTAACAATGGCTCGAATAGAATTTGTTGTAATAATACAGTTATTTAATCAAAATAGCATCAGTTCAGAAACAAGGGCACACCTCTCCACAACTGCTCAATTCATGACATATGCATTATAATGATTTCAGTACATCAGAAATGTCATGACTGCCCAATAGTAAGCTGTAATGTCATATTTCACCTCTGTTTTTGACAAGTAAATGAGTGGGATTCCTTGCAGTCATGTTATGGATAACTAGAAATATGCAGGGCAGATCTAGAATCGTGTTTGAATTCCAGGTTTTAATGCTGTAGGGTTGTTTATATACCACTTAACCCATGGTTCTGAAGTTTAAAAGTCAAGTTTGTTTATATCCGAGTGACATTTTATATAAGCTTACATCAGAATAAGGATCTTCCATTTCAAAACATGGGGTTAAGTACTGGCACGTTTGTAGTAACAAGCATATCATTATACTTAAGTTGTTCTCGTGCTCTGACACTCCCCTCCCCCATACCCCAACACCATATTTGCATGTGGATAGTAAAAAGCTTAATTTCTATGAAGATGTAATTGTTTGAAAGTGAACTAATAGTATAATATAAAATACTACAGATTTTAAGACTGGAAGGCATTATTATAATCATCTGGTCTCAAATAAGAAAAGTCATGGAATGTAACCCAGTAATTCCTGCCTCAAGCCCATAACTTCTGGTTGACTTAAGCATACTGGTTGACTTAAGCATATATGTAAGAAAGATATCCAATATTCATTTAAAGACTACATGTGATAGAGAATCCACTACTGGTTGTTCCCATAGTTAATGACCTTTGCACATGTGTAAATAGATAAACAATTTAACCACTTAAAGGGGCTTAATTCAGATAAGTTAGAAACCGATTTTCTTAAAGTGCCTTCCATCTGAAAATTCTAGAGAATTTTTGGACCATTCAACGTTCCATCTGCTATCAAATCCTGCATCCCTGAGGTTACATATAGCCAACACCATTCTGAATAGTCAATATTTTGTTTCATTTCAAATAGATTCAGGTTAGGGCAAAATATTGAGTAATACTTGGTTTTACGGATGCTGATTTGTTTTTTACAAGATTTTATGTAAATTTGGATACCCTTAAAATTGTAGTTCTTTATGGAGCTAGATCCATAAAGGGATCTAGGTATTTAAGGCCAACATTTAGGTGCCAGTGACAGCCTCAGAACCCCAGGTCAGTTGACAATTAACTTTGGAGGCACCTAACATTCCTAGGCTCAAAATTGAGTCCATCCTTAAAGTCCTCTGTGTGCCCCAGGATATACCTACATGGCCTCTGTAGGACTTGGGCTTGTAGATTTCTTTTTTCCAACTCCATGCTTGAGCATCCAGACTTACTGAAAACGTGAGTTGACATTTTGTAGACCCAGGTCTCACAGACATGCTAATGTGTCCACACAAAACTACATAGATCTTCTGACTCAGGTCTGCAGCTTGAGTCACATCTACACTGTAAAAGGACAGGGCTATAACCCACCCTCCTAGCAGAGTCCTCGGTGTTTACTGACCTGAGTCAGACTGATTTGTCCGTTTGTGGGCTCAAACCTGCAATAGGGTCCAGGCTTAGTGTGCCATGTGGACATGTCCTAAATCTCTGCCAGTTGGCATGTACACAGCTGTGTCAGTCTAGGCACCTGAGCCCCGATAGGATACTGAGGCAAGTACATCTGTGGAGTCAACACTTCGTAGGCATTCTCAGAGCACACCTAACCTCAGCTCCTCCACCCCTTATAGCCTTTAGTACAGTGGTTAAAGCATGTGTTGAGGATGTGCCAGACCCAGGAGCATAACCCTCTACCACCTGATGTGGAGCAGGAATTTGAATTTTGGTTTCACAGTGAGTGGCCTATTATTTTGGGATGCCAGGACACTGAAAGCTTCCATGGTTCAGAGGCAGCCTATCCAGTGAACTGCTCTGGAACTGAAGATTCATTCCCTTCCAAAATTTTGGGGGTTTGTTCCAAATCTAAACTAAAACAGATTTTGAAATACTGAAGTTCTCTGCAAAACTGAATTATAACACATCTTGGGATTATTTTTGGGTTAGGTGGCTTAATAGACTCCTAGGTTTTTGTTTAATGCACAAAATTGACTATATAAGACTGAAGGGTCTAAACTGTGTTACCTCATCTCTAATATTCTAGTTTAACTTTAGGTATATCACGGAAGGTTAAATTTTCAGACTGTGATTTATGCTCCATTCCCTCTTCACCCCAATCCACCTTTACAAACATTTTTGTAGCATAGTTGATTCTCACACACGTTGCCACATAATTATTTTCAGGAGCTCCAAGTATAGGGATAACTAAAAGTCTGTCAAGTATTTTTGCATTAGCCAAGCACAGAAATGGGGAATTAAAAAAAAAAAAAGTTTAGCACCATTGTTCAGAAGCCTTATTCATGGTTCTAATGAAAACAATGCTACAGTGTTTTGCTCAAGCCTTTAAAATGGAAAACTAAAGTATTCTAAATGTAATGCAATAACAATTCATGCAGAAGATAAGTCTGTGTGCATTTCACTAGTGGGACCAAATGGCAAATTATCCACAGACCAAGAGGGCTGCTGGAAAAATCATTGCAGAGTTCGATTTATACCTGACAGCTGCTAAAAAGTGCAGTGTGTGGGTGGCCCCAGGTGTCCAGTCTAATATTGGAATAAACAGAAGAAGACAGGAGACTAGTCAGAATTCCTCCAACAATGAAAAGAGGAGAAAATACTAGCAAACTTTACATTAAAATTTCACGTACGTGTGGATTTGTTTTAATAAAAACTACCTTACTTTTTTAAAGGAAAATAAAAGCACTCAAAGAATTGGGAAAGGATAATGCATACAAGTTCTTGAGGTAGTGAGCTTCAAATAGTTCCTCAAAGCTAATATGATTTGTATCATGCTCTCCTAACTATCCAGTGAAGTAGGTTAGGGGTTTATTTCAAAGTCGTGTGTACTGTATACCATGATGTTACTTGCTGCAGGGCCCAAAGCTTAATTGTTGAGGAAAAAAATGACTGCATTTTACTCAAATACGATTTAGAATATTATTAAATGTAACCAGATATGCATATTCAGAAGCAATCTTTATGTTGAATCAGCATTTTCATTTCTTTTTAAAACACTCTTATTCTATTAAGTTCCAGACTGTAACATGGCAATAATGGAAAACAGAAATAAGAGAAGGGCACTCCCAAATGCTGTTTCATCACTTGTATTAAATATTATATGTCCTTTGAAAATACAATAATGAGATCTATTACTTTTGCAGCTGATTTTAAATCTGATTACT